TAAGGATTCTGTTTGTTTCAGTGATGAGGAATGGAACGAAGGGAGTTCTTTATGGAAATTCTCACTAGTTGGTCAGGTGTTGGGTCTGAATGTTAAATTCAAAGCCATGGAGAATTATGTGCAAAAAGCTTGGGCTCAAAAAGCTATTCCTGATGTTTGTCTCCTTAGAGCTGGTTTTTTCCTCTTTAATTTCAAAAACAAAGAGGATATGAATGAAATTCTCATGTCTGGTCCCTGGTTTTTTGGCTCCAGGCCACTGCTTTTGAAACCTTGGACAGTTGGTGATGATTTAGAAAAAGTCAGTGAATGCCTCTACCCTATGTGGATCCAATTGCCTGCATTAAAGCTAAACCTTTGGAATGAAAAGGGAATTAGCAAAATTACTAGTGTCATAGGGCGGCCTATCACTACAGACAAATTAACAGCTAATAGACAAAGGCTTGCCTATGCTAGAGTGCTCTTGGAAGTTAAAATGCCAGCCCCTTTGCCTGATCAGATTCTAATTCAAGGGCCAAATGGAAAACAATATAACCAAAAGGTTATCTATGAATTGAAGCCAAGATGGTGTGATTATTGCAAACAAGTGGGGCATGATTCTAAAGTCTGTAGGAGGCACTCTGTTACTCAAAAATGGATTCCAAAGATAAATTTAAATCATCCAGTAACCAATGCTGGTAATTTGAATAAACAGGATAATAGCTGCCCTCATGATCAAACTATGCTGGGAAATTTTGAGAAGGAAAAGCAAGTAATGGTAGATGAGAATTTACCACAATCATCTCCTGTTTCTCACTGTTCTGTGCATGATGTGCACCTCAAGGAGAGTAGCACAAATTATAAAGCCTATGAATTCCTATTCTCCTCTGACCCATTTGGATGGTGGTGCTGATCCCTCTACAATTGATAGAGGGGGCCTGAATCTATGAATTTCTCTTTCTGGAATGTTAGGGGATTAAACAAATCCCCTAAACAGATTTTGGTCAAGAGGCACATACTGCAATACCATTTATCTTTTATTGCCCTTCTTGAGACCAAAATAAAGCAGGATAATATTCAGACTATAGCCAAGAGAATAGCTAATAACTGGGAATGGATTTCTAATGCAGGGATTTCTGACAAAGCTAGAGTCCTTATTTTATGGGATCCAAATGTTTTGGATGTTCACATTAAAAGTTCTTCTGCTCAACAAATTTCTTGTGCTGTTAAATCTGTTGATGATAGGCTGAATTGTATCATATCATCTGTCTATGGTTTTAATCATGCTGAAGCCAGGAAGGATTTGTGGTCTGACCTTGTTTTGGTCCATCATAATGCTGGTAATATACCTTGGCTTCTTAGTGGAGATTTCAATGCCTTGACTAGCAATGATGAAAGATTAGGGGGTTCTAGAATTACTGAGGCAGAAACAGAAGACTTTTGTAAATTCATTGATGACTGCCAGATTTCTCATATGAATACTACAGGCTGTTTTTTCACTTGGAACAACAAGCAAGGCCCTGATACAAGGGTATGGAGCAGATTAGACAGAACTTTAGTCAATCAAGCCTGGATCCAAGACTATAATTCAAGTCATGTGGAGTATTTACTCCCTTGTTTTTCTGACCACTCACCAGCCCTTGTCTCCATATATGATGATAATGTGCATGGTAAGAAGCCTTTCAAGTTTTTTAAGATGTGGACAAAACATGGGGATTACCTTCCTACTGTTACTTCTATTTGGCAAGTTCATGTGCAAGGTCACACTATGTACTCAGTGTGTTCTAAACTGAAGCTTCTTAGAAGAGCTCCATTTTCTCCATGTCTGATGATAAGTCCCCAGGCCCTGATGGTTACAGTGTCTCCTTCTACAAATCTTCATGGTCAATCACAGGTGAGGAGATCACCAAAGCTATTGAGGAATTTTTTATAACTGGTAAACTTCTTGGTGCAGTTAACTCCACCTCTATAACTCTCATTCCCAAGGTGAAGTGCCCTAAAACCCCTGCAGATTATAGACCAATCTCTTGCTGCAATTGCTTGTATAAGTTCATCTCTAAAATCCTTGCAAACAGAATTCAGTCTGTCATGGGGATTCTTATCAGTGAAGCACAATGCGCATTTGTAAAAGGGAGGCAAATTTCAAATAATATTTTGCTTGCTCATGAATTGGTTAAAAATTATGGTAGAAAGCATATTTCACCTAGAGCCATGATAAATATTGATATTAGAAAGGCTTTTGACACAGTTAATTGGAGTTTTCTGCAGAATATGCTCAATGGTCTTGGTTTTCCTAAGGTCTTTACAGGTTGGATAATGAGCTGCATATCTTCACCTAAATATTCCATTTCCCTGAATGGTTCACTTCATGGTTATTTCAAAGGAGCTAGGGGTTTAAGACAA